TTCATGGACTCAATCCTTGACATGTAAGAGGATTCTCTGAGATTTTGCCGTACCTATACATATGTATATACTCTCTTCTTTTATATTCTCCAAATACATTTAATCAAATCTTTTTTTCCTCCCTCCGGGAATAATTTTTAGAGGAACTCTTTAAAAAAAGTTATTTTAGATTTTGAAAATCATTTAAAATTATCGAAATCATTTTTCAGCCACTAAAGATATTGTATAACTCATTAGGAAGTAGTGCAGCTGTAAGAATTAATGCAGCATTTTATTAACAAGATGCAAAGTAGATGCGTGGCCGGTTCGTACACGCGAACCGTGTGTGTCCGTTAAATAAAATGAAAAAGAAAGTGAGAACGGTGAATCAATTTTCTGTACACGTGAAATTGTTCACGCGCCGACTCTGCCTTTTTGGACGTCTGGAGGCGATCGACGGGCAAAGATCCGGGCTTATTCGTGCCGAATCTCGATGGAGAAAAGGCGACAGTCTCGGGAGCAAGACGACGGAGCAGGTCGTTATTTGCGGCTGCCGGACGACCGTATGTAAATCACGTCCGCCGAGAAGAGACTTCGGGGGCGATCCCCGATCGCATCGCGACGCGGGAGAAGCCGTACGTGAGTAACTGGGACGGCGATAAAGGTGACTCGCTTTCGACGAGGTCGCGCTTCGTACACGCGCCTTCGCGCGACAGTTTCCGATCGATCGACCGTCGAAGGAAATGAAACGACATTAATTCCGAACGAATTTCTTTGCCACCAGATTCTTAACCCTAGCTATATAACAATATATGCGAAAGAAGGTATGCAAAGAGCCAGTAATGTATTTAGTAACAAACTTTCATTAAAATTCAATCATAAATTACAATGCGGCAAAACAAGCGTTTCGACTCATTTTCGCTCGAGTCATTTTCAATGTTGCGGTAATATATTAAAATATCTGTGGTATTACATTCTTCATATCGTGTAGTGTCTTGCGAGTCAGTTATATCAGAATTCAAAGCAGTCAGAAAAACATTCTAGAAACGTAACCGTGAAAATATTAATACTTGATACAAGCGAATTAATAATATACATATAATATTTATAATTATGTACCTGTTGTGGCCAATATCGGTCAATACAAAAATGTTGAGAGTCCATTAATAAAAAAGAGAGAAGACGCAGGTAGATGGTAATTCATATCGCACAATGTTTTTTTTTTTTCAAAAAATTTTCAAGCAAATTTACAAGAGTAGCTATATATTCTGGGGTTCCAAAAACCTCAGTGCAATTTGCTAAATCGAGATTTTTTTCGTGTTTTTGAACTTTTCTTTTTCTTTCAACCTATATACCTCGAAGCTCTTTAATTCTATCGACTTTTACACATCATGGATTTGTTTCTTAATCAAGTCTCCATCGATTAAAAAGAAAATTAATTGAAACGTATTCATTTTTACGGAAGTTACAAATATGGTATATCAAAGGTAAAAAAAGAGTGTACATACTCGTATACTAGGTTTAAAAAGGAACACTCATGGAAGGTGCTGTCTAAATTCTTTCAAGTGAATCTCACTTTAAAGAATTTAGAGAGTGCATCTTTTCTTCAGTGCAACTCCTCGGAAGTGCGATGTATACTAAAAAATTTTAACTTAATTAAGACATACATGAAAAAACACAGAGTAAGTCTAAAAATATAGAGCGGATTCTGAATCGAGAAAACTGTATTCTACGTGCTTTAGCTGCAATTTACGTACGACAACCTCGATAATCAATGTTCCGCCCGATGGATTCCGGGATTTAAATGATTCGAGATGTGTTGGCAAGAGATATCTAATTTTTCAAGAAAGGCAAGTTATACCGTGACTCTCGTGGAGACATTTTATTCAGTGGAACAAGATAATTAACGGATCTATATGACTGGAACGGAGGACGATGATGCTACGCAGCTCGACTGGTCGAACCGGAGTAATGCGCGAATATATGCAAGGCATGCAAGGAAAATGGTGTGAAAGGCATGGATTAAATGTAAAAGACATTCACCGATACCGAGGAAAAATTAGTGATTGCTAATGATTTTCGTTACGAAAATCGATCAGTAAGTACTTCCGGCGATGTGTGTATCGAGGCATTTCATTATTTGTATCCTGGTTCCCTATTCATGTCCGTTATTTCCAGCCTGCGATTGATATCTTAATTGCAACGCATATAGAGTGTATTTACAATATTCTGTGTACTATGTAGTTCAAAACTGAGATAGTGGCAGATATATCTTTTGCATTAGAAACTTTTAAAAGCGTTTCTTTAAGACACTCGCTAATTGCGTTTTAAAATTGAACGTTTGCGTTTTGCGCAAGATTATTTAATCGATCTAGATTTTGCAGGAATTTTTTCTTAAACCCTAAAACGCTATCGATACGTAAATTTTACGTAAAAGTAAGCAAAGTTATAAAATGCTAAGCTATGTCTTTAGTGATCACAGGAAGTCCACAATCTAATGTATTAAAAGCTAGGACAACCTGAGATAAGACCTTATCGTGGAAATTAGATCTTTTAAAAATTCTGTTTGCTCTTTTTTTATATATCAGATTTAGATTCTCCGGTGTATTATAATAGAGAACGTGATACGTAATTTCAATTTTCAAGCATTAATTTTTTTTTTCGTTATGTATTTTATTTAACTGTTATGAGGAGACACACAATTGGCCTACATATTATTTAAAGATTGAATTTAATAATATTATTTATAATAGAGAAAGAAAGAGAGAGAGAGAGAGAGAGAGAGAGAGAGAGAGAAAATTCTTGTTTTTTTCTTTTCTTTTAAATTAATAATTTAATTATTGTATTTATATATTGTATAAAGGTCTAGATTATAAATATTTTGTTATTAAATGTGTAAAAACTCCGTGTACATTAATTAAAAGATTAAGATCTATTTCTTATACATAAAATTAACATATTAATAATATTAATAGTGTACCAGTCAATATCGATAGTTCTAGAATTTACGAAAATTTCATCGAAGAATTATTTTCAGACCTCTTCGATACGAGAAAAGTTAATCTTGTAACACTTTATACGTACAAATAAACGTAGCTCAAATGACAGTTTTATCTTTCAGCCAGGTAGAATCGTCTAACAGAATTTCCAAACTGTGTTTCTCCTCGAATATATTTTGGTATACAAGTACTCTCGCTGTTATAGCGCCATAAACAACCGTCGACGGTAGGAGAAAGAGCACTTCTTGAGAGAGTTTCTACTCGTAATATCCCGCGCACACTACATGTATGTAGCTAGTTTTTCATTTGCGCCACTATATTTACAAACAGTGCCATATTAATCAGCGGAATCCGCTTCGACAGCGTATGTATTGTATACGAGTCCATACTTCGTTCCGCTAGATTCTGTCATACTAATCATATAATTGTTTCGTCGTTCAGGCAGATCTCTCAGAAATTTTACTCGCAATTAGCGAGGCTTTGCCATTTTATTTCATCATTCTGGAAAATTTAACAACCATTGACGGCGAAAGCAAACACGCCAATATTATACGCGAATGTACTATTCTCCATTTTATCAAAGTAAATAATCTTATTGAAACTCGAGATTAATACTTAATATCGTCAATTTGGTCATTTATCTTCTGCGTATTCTTTTCTTTGAAATTTTAGGAATAAATTATGATTCTATATCCTTGCCTTTTTTTTTAAACACAATCTTACAAATATTTTCTAAAGATGTTAAAGTACATGTAAGAATTACGTAATAATTTTCGTATATTCGTAAAAGTGAAGGAAATTAACCCAGAACGACCCATCATGTAATGAAGGATCGGAAAATCATCGTGTATAAAAGTTAACTGATATATATAATTTCTCTCATTTTATGCTCTTGTTTTAATATAATAATAACGCATTATATTTTTATTTTATAGAGCATCTATAAATATTTAAAATGTTATAACAATCGATATCGAATACCAATACAATAGACGTGTTTTAAAGGGAACGCAACACTACTAAATAAAGTGCGTTATATTGCATAACTTAAAGTTGAAATTAAAAGAAAAATTTCTCTTTTCTGAAAAAAACTCTTGCTCTTATTTTTCAATAACTCTGACAAAACTTTCTTCAAGGTTAAAGAGTATCCGAATCTCTTTTGATCTGGTTAGCAAAGTATCAGCTGCGCTCTCGATTCTCCCTTCATATAAACACACTTAACCCTTTAACTCTCATGGATATACATTACAAGCGCATATACATTACAAGCGCTGGTCTGTTAAGGCAACGCTGTTTTTTCGTTTCTGGACTATATTTGTCCAAGTATTCGACATTTAAAGGGTAATATAATTTTTATGGGAGATAAATCGAATTCACGCTCGACAGCAAAGTTAAATGAAGGTCGGAAGGTGTATGGGCGTGACAAATTTTCCCTCGAGAAGACCCTACGCGAATACCTTACTCCGAAAAAATTCGAGACCTTCGTCCTTGGATATATTGTTTGCCGGTTGGGTCAATAGTACTCGTCGGACGCCACCGTGTCTCGCCCCCGCTGAGTGACACTTGGAAAGATATTCGAAGGAGAGTCTCGCGAATTCGTGTTGATCGCGAGATGGAAAAGAAAGATCGCGAGGGGAAGAGAAAGAGAGATCCGGCATGCGAGCGGCCGCTGGAAGGGCGAGGGCTCGTTGTTGTCGACAG